ATCCATGGTCAACAGCAGTCCGAAAATATTAAATGGAAAATTTCAGAAATAATCTAAGTTTTAAATTGCTGTCTGTTCTGAGTAGCATATTTCAAACAGTTGTAATTATAATACATATACAATTTGAGATCTGCTTTTTTAACCTCATGTTATTTCATAAACACTTTTCCGTATTGTCACATAATAGTCATATTTATTATTTTAAATGTCTGCATAATATTCCTTTGAGTTACCATAATTTTTTCATTCCCCATCACTGAGGTTTCTAATTTTTTGCTATTATATTTAGTGTTCCAATGAATATCTTTGTACAGATATTTCTTTGTATAGAACTTCTTTTGAGTTACTTTGTTGCAATAAATTCCCAGAAGACCAAGCAGTATGAACCATTTTTTCCTTTGTTTTTTATTGTTGTTGTTAAATACCTTATTATTTTCAGATTGTTTATTAGTTATTTGTCTCTGTGCTTAAATTCTATAGTAGTTGTATTTATTACTTATAAAATCTTGAATAATTCTTATTGCTGGCTCTTGGTTTTTGGTATACATGAATCAGGCTCTTCTAACATAAAGAACTGCCATAAAGCAGCAGGTCTGGAGGAAGTCCCCGTAAATACAGTAGGAACATTTTGTAGGTTCCTCTAGGGATTCCGTAACTGTACACTGGAAAAATCTGTTCTACAGGAGCTTAGGGTATAATATTCCCCTCATTTAGCAATTAAGAAAATGAAGCAACATAAAGAACAGTGTAAGGAAGTTAGAGCAATTTAAGAAATAGCTAAATCTATTAAATACTTAAGTAGCAAGTTAAATTAACAGTTTGAAACAAATGCTTAAAGCTGAAGACCACATATACTCTCATTGTCTTACAGATTGATTCTTTACAAGGAAATGGATTGTTCTATTTTCTTTTTTATGTGTTGTAGAAATTTATAGATGAGAAACTCATTCCCAGCCTTAGTAATACTATTTTTTCAATAAATGACATGTTGCCTTTAATGTCATAACTGTTGTATAATAGTATTCTATATGTATTTATATATACAGAATATAAAGTATAGTTGCTAGCCCCGATTTATATGTGATTACCCACATATATTAAAATAAGTCAAAACAAAAATCTATTTTAATCTCATTCATTAAAGCAAACGACAAAGCTGCTTATTTGTGTTGTAAATGATTGGGTTTTATTCAAATACTAGTGGTTAAATTTTCATCTGTGGAATTCTGATTTTTACATTATCATTTGCTTTCCCTGGAGACGCCAGTATACCAATTTTGATCCCTTTAAAAAGAAAACAGTTTCTCACCTTTCAGTGGTGATAGCCAGATCATTGGAATATACCCTCTCATATCTGACTGCATAAACATGACTTAAAATAGTACCAAGTTTATCACCATTCTACTCAAAGAAACTCCTTATTTTGTCATTATTACACCCAATTTTCTAGATACTCAGTTTTAAGACCTTGGAATCATTCCTATTATTCTTCTTCTCCAGTTTCCAGTTAATCTCCAGGTCATGACTACAGTTTTTTCAGTCTCCACCTCCATTCTTCCTTTCTGTTTCCCATTGCCACCATGTTAGACCTGGGACCCATTACTCCTAAACCATTGAAACAGTCTAATTGGTTTCCCTTCCTCCAGTCCTTCCCCACTTCATTGTGTTTTGCATACTGCTTAACATGTCAGCCCCACATTTAAGATCTGAAATCTGACCATTACCCAGCTCCCACCTTCATCTGCAGTTACCCAAGAGCACCAGTCAAAATGGCTTTTTTTCATTGTATCCTGTATATGCGATCCATCCTGCCAGCTTCTTAACAAGTAATTTCCCACAAGTAATTTCTTTTTCCCCAAACCTGAGCCCAAATCCACCTTTCTCTTTTTATTTTTATTTATGTTTTTTTAAATTTTATTTTAAGATCTCAATTGGCTTTATTGCAATTCCAGAGTCGAGTAACACGTTATTCCATAAAATAGAGTAAGTGTTCCTCACACCTTCCTCATAAGCCTTCCTATTTGTCCCAGTAGCATTAATTGGCTACACTTCCACTCCTCAGGTGCTAACCATGTATTCTCCATTCTGTTATTTACTTTTTGTTTATTAGCCTGCATTAGGAGAATATAAACCCATGACAGGCAAGGATTAGGTTGTAACTCTCTCAATATCCCCCACTGCCTTGGTAGACAATAACAGACTAATGGTGGAGAAGATGGGCTTTGAAGTGACACAAACCTGGATTTGAATTCTGGTTCTGTCCCTTCCTGGCTATATGACCTTATGTAAATTACTAAATTTCTGTTTCCTCATATGCAGAATGAGCATGATTATAACCCCCCACACATAGGGTTTTTGAAAGGATTAAATAAGACATATAGGTGTGTATTTAATGTGCTTAGCACAATACCTGACACATAATAAATAATAAATGGTAGTAATTATTATTATAGTAATTATGATCATGTTAACTGCTCAGTTAACGTTTGTCAGTCACCATAATAATGCACCTCCAAGAATTTTATAATATACCCCTTCTCATCAGTCAGATGACTCCAAATATCATATGATAATAGTGTTAGGGGTTTTTCTTATAGCTGTCAGTAGGCTATATGAAACGTGAATGTGGGGTATATAATTTTTTTATTGTTTAGAAAAGTGGTTTATTCCATGAAATTGTTGCACTCACTTATCTAACCTATTGCAAAAAAAAAAAAAAAATGCAAATTTTGTAAAAACAAACCCACCCCCGCAAAATTACCTTTTTTGTATACAGGTATTGCTTCTATTCCAAAAAAGACATTTTTGCAGCAGAAAATATCTTCTCATATACAGAATAAATTCTGAAACTAATATATATAAATAAATATAAATATGTATTTAATATAATTATATATAATATATAATATGTAAAGAAAGTGCCAGATGTTAGAAAGGTGATTCTTTTATATGCTATATCAAGTACTCTATCATTTAGGGGTTTTTTTTGGGGGGGGGGTTGTGGCATAGGGAACCAAACCCTTGACCTTGGTGTTACAAGGCTGTGCTCTAACCAACTATGCTATCTAGTTAATTCTACCATTTAAATATAAATGAATTCATTTATAGAAATGAAGGTAGCTAGTAAGAAAAACAAATCTAAAGTTACTTGGAAAATTGCAGGGTAAGTACAAAATAATTTAAAACTTGCATCTCCTTGACAGCAGAGTATCAGCATATAAGTGTTGTAAAAGGAGCATTAAAAAAAACTATTAGGAGACAGAAACTGTTGGGGTCCTAGATGATGGTCCCCAATACCCTCCCCCCAAGTCCTTGGGACCACTTTGGTCACCAGAGCTGGGGAGATGGTTTGTGATGACTTTGCCTGCTGCAAGAATGTGCTGTGCGCTCTCAACATGGTCTACATGCTGGTGGGCTTGTTGCTCATTGGAGTGGCTGCCTGGGGTAAGGGCCTGGGTCTGATGTCCAGTATCCACATCATAGGAGGAGTCATTGCTGTGGGAGTCTTCCTTCTCCTTATTGCAGTGACTGAATTGGTGGGTGCTGTCGAACACCACCAAGTCCTGCTATTTTACGTGATCATCCTTGGTTTGGTCTTCATCTTCCAGTTTGGAATCTCTTGCTAATGTCTGGCTATTGATCGAAACACACAGACAGATGTCATCAGTGCTTCTTGGTGAGTCATGAGCAACAAGACCCGAGATGAACTGGGAAGAAGTTTTGATTGTTGTGGATTGTTCAGTCTTACAACCCTATATCAACAAGATTACACTTTCTGCACTGCAATCTGCAAGAGCTGGAGCCCCACTTGCCAGATATGTGAGAAAAGTTTCTTGGGCATTCAGTTGAAGCCCTGAAAATCCTGGGGGGTGTTGGACTCTTCTTTAGCTTTACAGAGATCCTTGGTGTCAGGCTAGCAATGAAATTTTGAAATCAAAAGGATCCTCGAGCCAAACCCAGTGCCTTTCTGTGAGTCTCTGGATCCTTCCAACTTCTCTCCTTAATCCTTTTCTTCCTCCCTTAGGGAGAAACTAGGGTCTACAGTCCTTTTTGTTTGAAAAGAAGGAAAAGCCCTTCCCCACATCCCCTAAAACTGATTGAACAGCTAGGTTTTATGGCTTGATATATTTTGGTGTGAGCAAGACTATAGGGAATAGAGAGAAAAACTTCTTCCCTCTCCCCCCAAGTGGATATGAGAAGGCCCTGGGAATACAAGGGATAGGGGTTGGAGTCATTCCTAGCTATTTCCCCTCTCCCCACTTCCACGTGCTAGACCACCTCAACATACCCTGGCCTGGCTCCAAGGGTAAATCAGGAACACAGCCAAGGAGAAAACCACCAAGAACTCTTTCTTGGACCCAGCTTGAGAAAGTTCAGTGAATATAAAAATAAAAGCCTTGTTAACTCCACATTCAAAGAAGCAACATATGTTCCTTTCTAATCTTTGCTGGTCAAGGGGCTCCACTGACAGCCTAAGCCCTGTAACTGAAAGAGACAGTTAAAGAACCTTAAAGAGGTTCTACATGGAATTTCCTTCTTCCAAATGGTTTTTCCAGATCTTCCAATGGCAAAGCCAGTCAGAGGAAGAAACATTTAAAAAAAGAAAAGAAGAAAAAAAACTATTAAAGAATAAGAATGCCCTGTTCATAAACTAACAAAAAGGCAAATAAATTTAGCCTTAGAGTAAAAAACAGCAAACCATACCAGCACCCAAATAATCATGTACCAAAGTGCTCTGGGGACTTTACTTCGGCAGCCATTTGCCAAAGGGGCTGGGGCTTCCAGCACAACGAAATTTAAACAGAAGAACCGTAGGAGTTCCAGGGTTGTACCAGCACCATCTGTAGGAACATCTGACACAAAATGTATTCATTTGACATGGAATTAGTTTGTATCATTTGTTTTTGACTAATCTAGAATGAAAGATATAGTCCCTGTCGCCTTTTTTCTTACTTCTTCAATTATCCAGCATGTTTTACAATCTTTTTCTTTTTAAATAGGGATCATATGCAATGGTCTAATGAAGAAGAAGCAGCAGCCAGAAAAAAAGTAGAGGAAAATTCAGCTGTGCGAGTCCTTCTGGAAGAACAAGGTAGCCAACTACATGCTGTAGCTCCCGGAGTTGGGCTTTGTTTGACCTTCCACTGGTTCAGTTCACACCTTAGTCACTTACACTCCTGCTTGTGTCATTACTTTTGAGAGTTTTAGCTTCTACCTGTGCCAATCCACTTGTTCTATTTGGCGGAATTCCCAGTTCTTCCAGTGTAGTGGGACCAAAGTTAATGAAGTAAATTAGGTATTCACCTATAATTGATCTTTTGGTAGTCACATTACTGCTTTTTCTGGGAGATACATATTTGAATAGCACTTCAAATAAACTATGAAAACGTAATTTGAAAATGTTCCTCTTACTATGCTGCTTTTAGTATGCTATCATACATTTCACTTGCTAGGAACTTTGAACAAATTCTTAAACTTTGAGTGAAGAAGGTAAAGTCATATCAGATATTTCTGGTCTTTAGGATAAACATAAAGTTTCAATAAGGATTAAAGGCACTTTTCTTGGAGGCCTTTATATTTAGAGTTTAAGGCCTTGCTAACCTTCATAAATGGCTTTTTAAAAATTGGCCTATGCTATTTAAAAAAAAACCCAAAAAACAGAAAATGACAGGTGTTGACAAGGATGTGGAGAAATTGGAGCTCTGGTGCACTGTTGGTAAAAGGGCACAGCTGCCACAGAATACAGTGTAGAGGGCCCTCAAAAAATTAAAAATAGAACTGCCATATGATCCAGCAATCCCACTTCTGGGTTATATCCAAAAGAATTGAAAGCAGGATTTCAAAGAGATATTTGCACACCCATATTCATAGCAGCACCATTCACAATAGACAAAAGGTGAAAGCAGCCCCCATGTTCATAGTCAGGTGAATGGATGAACAAAATGTGTTATATACATACAGTGGAATATTAATCAGCCTTAAAAAGGAAAGAAATCCTGTCACATGCTATAGCAAGGATGAAACTTGAACACATTATGCTAAGTAAAATAAGCTAATTTCAAAAAGAAATACTGTATGATTTCACTTATATGAGATATCTAAAGTAGTCAAACTCATAGAAATAGAAAGTAGAATGGTATTGCCAAGGGCTGGGAGGAGAGGGAGAGAAGGAGTTATAGTTTGGCAAGATGAAAACATTCTGGAGATCTGTTTTACAACAATGTGAATATATGAGGGCACTTCAAAAAGTTCATGAAAAAAATGGAACTAAATGATAATAAAAAATCTTTCCATGAACTTTTTTGAAGATCCCTCATATTTAACACTACTGAACTAAATACTTAAAAATGGTTAAGATCTTAAATTTTATATTATGTGTTTTAAAAAAAAAATTTTAAGTGCACTTGAAAAAAAAATTGTCCCATGTCTTTCTTCACTGCATAGCTGGGAACCCACAGACACCTTGCCCAACATCTACACTCTTTATATAGGATTTTCCACCTTATTTTTCTTAAAGTGATTTCTTCTTTAGAACATTTGATTCTCTTTTTAATATATATAGTTCATCAAAGTACCAAATAAACACAGACATCTATATAACTCATAAATGAATTCTCACAAAGTTCAGTGAACACAAAGTGAATACACATATGTAAACAGCACCCACATCAAGAAACAATATTACCAGTAACTCAGAAACATCTTCATGCTCCTTCTCAATTACAGTACTCCCCCTCAACCCCTCAGAACCAATGAAAAGTAACCACTGTTCTGGTTTCTAATATCATAGATTAGTTTTGGCAGAAAAACTTGGTTCTGGTCATCATCATTTCTTGGTCACTCTTATAGCACTATCAGTGTAACCATTAGATAGAGCAAGGGTCAGCAAACCACAGCCTATGGGCCAAATCCAGCCCATTGCTTGTTTTTATAAGTAAAGTTTTATTGGGACATAGACACACTCATTTGTTGACATTGTCTGTGGTTGCTTTTGAACTATAACTAGAGTTGAGTAGTTGCAACAGAGACTGTATGTGGCCCACAAAGACTAAAATACTTACTATCTGGCCCTTTACAGAAAAGGTTTTTCAACCCAGGATAGAATTTTTTCCAGATTGATCAGCTGTCCTGAAACTTCCCAGGGAAAGATGTTTGCATTCCTCTGTGTAAGCCAAGCATAGTGAAAATCACTAATCCCGCTGGTAGTTAACTATTGTTCATGAACTTTAGTCTACAGTTGAGGCTGAAGTTTGAAGCAAAGTTAGCTGAGAAAACTGAGCTAATGAGACAGCCACTAACTAGTGAAGGGGGCAGTGCTGACCTATCTTGTCCTCTGGTATCATTGATAACCTATCATATCCTGTGGCATCGTTTGCTATTCCTTAAAGCTAGTTCTCCTTCCTCATCCTAAGCATTTATGTGTCCTGGAGGGCAGACAGGAGAGAAGAGCACCTGATCTGCAATGGAATCATTTTATTTTTATAAGCTTCAGCCATGCAGTCCAAGAGTGGAATATGGCCAGGGAGTGTTGGGGTTGGATTTGAGGGTGCATACCAGTGGCAATACTGCTTACAAATCAGCCAACATTGCATTCCTTTGCAAGAACTCTATCACACTGTTTCTGAGGAAGTATAACTTTGCTTCTTTGCCAGCAGCTGCACAGACATATTTTCCACATTACTCAAGCTTCTGCTAGTGGCCACCTGGATGTGACAGAGACTCAAGCCTAAACCGAATTAAAAGTTATCAATCATCTTAATTCATTTCCAGGAAGTTAAAAATTATTCACAGTGTATTTCCTGATAATATGAAAAAACAAGGATTTTTTTCTCACCCTCTTTTGAATATTTGTTTAGAACATAAATAGATGAGCAGTGCTGATAATGTTCCCTTAGAGTGCTCTGTATGTGGCTGCTATTTTGTCCTATTTATATTAACAGTGAACTTGAGTGAAGCTAATGAGAAGGTTATTTTAGGGCCTTGGAAACCGCAGTAAAGGAAAATGACAGTTTCCACAGAACCATAGTGTGACTGAAATAGAAAGTGGTGACTGGCCTCTCTCTAGAGAAGCAGGAAAAGCAGACAGGAGAGGGCTGATGATACCACTTTGAAGTGTTTGATTTGCCTATTAGGATGTCCAGTCTCTTTCCGAGCAAATTTTCTGGCTGCTGTGGAGACACAGAACAAAAGATTCCATTTCAAAATGACTCAAAGAGGTAGAGGCTTCTGCTGGGTCCCCTCTGCATTCCCCCTGTAACACTACGCAGTGTGGTGGGCTTCATATGTGTCAGGGGACCACTGCAGGGAGAGGAACACGTTATGAGGGTGACTGTCTTATCACACTTAAGCAAGGTTACACAGAACAATAACTAAGGCTGCCAGGAGAGTGGCAAAGAAAGGAAACTTTTGTTCTGAGGAACTGTGTTGATTGACGTATGACAGGACATTACACTGAGAGCCACCCAATGCAGTTTCTGCTCAGGGTCATAGACCTACCAGTCTGCAAAAATCCTAGGTGATGAGGCTTCTGATTTGATGTTTAATGTCTGTATGAATGTAGGTCAAGGTGAATGAGTTGTTTAAAAGCTCTACTCTCAAAGTTTGTAAGAACCTGAAGGAAGGAAACCTTGACCTGGCTCTTCTGTCAGTGCTTCTGTTAACTACCATCTTTTCTTATCTAGGATAGTCCTAAGTCTTTGGAAGAGCCAGTTTTCTCCCATCAGTTTTGCATATAAGTATGCCATATGTAGATTATTATACACAGGAGCACTGTTTATTGATCTTATCTCACCTTATTTTAATGCCACTGGGAGGAAACACTGGTTGTTCTCCAATGCTGGCCAACTCTCTGGCACATTACTTTTGGTCTCTGTGTTTGTTGGGCTCTCCTGTCACTCCCATTTCCCATTTCTCGCCTATTATCTCAGCTGTTGGTGAGAACTGAAGTCAGGAAACACCCTCACAATCTGAAAATTAGGAGGTATGCATCAAAAATAATAGCCTTTTGCTGCAGGATGGTTGATATTTCACTTCTGTGATTAAAATGTGTAGCATCCATGTTCTCATTAATAGTATTTCTTTCAGTTAGATTTCCCAGATTAATAATTTTGAATTCCACTTTTCTTTTTAGTAGTTTCTTTTCAATTTTATTATAGTTCATGTTTCTTTTAAAAGCAGGTTAATTCAGAGAAATGAGAAAGTTACATTGGCAGTTTTTGAGTTAACATGATTATATTTTATAATTTCCTTATAACATCTCCAGTGTGTTGTATTTCAGCTGGTTATTTAGCAAATGTAATGGGTTTTTTAAACTTAATAACAGAAGCAGCTGCTACTTTTACTTTAAAATATTTATGTAAATAACTACTTAACCTAGACTAAGTGATCTATGTCAAGCAAAATAATGAGAGTCCCACTGTACCTCACCATATGAATACCTTACCACTTGAGAGAATGTTCTGTATGGAAAAAATTGAGTACCTAAAGGTTTTGTGCTGGTAAATTTAGGGTGCTTGTTTATAAGTTGGCTTTCGTTGTTAAAATTTCATGCAGTGCTCTTAGGAGTACACTTTTAATTTCATAACTTTGAGTTTTATTAAACAATGAACTTTATCAGTGACGTGGAAATTTCTAACTTTGAGAACTCAATTCACGTAATTGATATGCAAAAATAACTTTAAATTGCTTTTTGTTACATGGCAACTTAGAATAAATTTTCATAATTCATATTAATCATATCATATGTCAGATACACAAATGGTTTAATTCAGTTTTGTAGTTGTGATGTTTGGTGTGATTCAGAGTGAATTCTGAATATTTAAATATGGTTAGTGTGCCATATTCCTTCTTCCCCTCAGCGGTATTGAATTTAATAAGTGAATAATTGAGAAGTTGCTTCATTTGGTTGTGGTTAAACAGATCACTACATTCCTTTTACTGCCACTGGCATAGAGCAATTAACTGAATTGGCAACCTAGGAAAGCAAAAAGAAAAGAATGTTCCTTCAAGAAAAATTTATCATTAATACACCTGTTTAGAAGGTTAGTTTGAGAAGACAAAGACAGAGCAGATTTCTCCACACATTATTCTTTTATTATTATTGGCCTGAACTTGTGGAAATAGGAGGTTGAGACTAAATTTTTCACTCATGGTCAGAGAAGTAACTCCTCCAATTCCCCTGTTATTACGGATACTCTTGCAGTTTAGGGATTTCAATCATATACTGAAGGTGTTTGTTATCTCAATCATTGTTACGATGAGTTTGATTGAGCTTTTGTGGGGTCTCAGAAGCTGTCGCACATTACTGGGAACTATGAAGTTTCCAGCATCGATTGGAGATACTGCTGAAAGCACAACTTTAAACACGTTCCAACCCATTGGTGTGGCTTCTGTTTCTGTCCCATAAACCCATGTATTCTCACAGAGCATGTTTTGTTTTCTATTGCTCATCATAACTTTATCATATAACCTGGCATGGTTTATATTTTATTTAATTCAAAGAATGGGGCTTAATTAATTCTGTATTTCTGATCTGTTTTAATGAAGGTTAACTCCAGCATTTACTTCCAATGATTATAAGTCACATTGAGGTTTTAATTTCAACTTTATGCTTCATAATTGAGAGGAAAGTAAGAATCAGAAAAACAAAGACTATTTTCAGAGACATTTTGGAGAGGGTTCATATTGACCTTGTGTCAGAAAGGCAGTGTAGTATAATGGTTAAGAGCATGGGCTTTAGAGTTTGACAGACTTGGTCCAGGTCCTAACTCTGCTCTTTCTAGCTGGGTGACCTTGGGGAAATTTTTTATTCCCTCTTGACTTTGAATTTCTTTATCTGTAGACTAGAATACACTGTCAGTCTGAGAGATACCATTAGGATTAAATGGGGAAAAAAAATCCAAGTAAGGCATTTAGGATAGTGCCTGGCACATAATAGACACACAGTATGTGTTATTGTTGTTATTTTTAATGTTGCTATTATTGGTATTATGATTTCTATAATTTTTAAAATTTTTTTCTCCTAATTCCTGAGTGGGAAATACTTGAAAAAGGCTTTAAAATATATATATATTAGCAAATCTTGATTATGGCCTTCTAATAGTAATAAAGTTATTTTTAAAGATTGCATAGGCTAGGGTTGAATTTAGATGCTTGATATGTTTGGTATCCGAACCAGATTGTAGTCATGTCAGTGCAAATTCATTTTCTTATATACGCTGTAAAAATTAAAACAGCAGTACAGGATAATGTTTTTTTGTTGTTTTTTTTTCCCCCATTTTCGTGACTGGTAAGGGGATCGCAACCCTTGGCTTAGTGTCGCCCACACCGCGCTCAGCCAGTGAGCGCACCGGCCATCCCTGCGGTGGGAGCGCCGCACTCTCCCGAGTGAGCCACGGGGCCGGCCCTAACAGGCTAATGTTTAAAACAGCAATCGGGTTTTTTTTTTTTTTTTTTTGGTGGCTGGCTGGTACATGGATCAAATCCTGGACCGTAAAATTATCAGCACCATACTCTAACCAACTGAACTAACTGGCCAAACCCTGAAAACAGCAATCTAATCCAAGATTTGTAGTTTGTAGAACTGACAATGTTTAATGTTCTCAGTAAATTTGTGGGTCTAATAGGAAAGTACATAGAATTTCGAGAGCTTAAGCAGACTTTAGATATACTCTAATTTAACCCCCTCATCTAATGAGGATACCCAGGAGGCAAGTAGAATGAAGAATTCAGCCAAGATTCTTTATCTTCGTGTAAGATGTAGATACAACTTTGTAAAAGAAAGAACTACCTAATAATCATTAAATTGTTACCATTGCTCCAAACTTTCATCTGATTGTTATGAATAAATATAGAATAAATTTTAGAGTTGCCAGCAGTATATTTACTGTTCTCTGTGAATGTTTTCTCTAAATATTATTATCCTTTATTTCTTTAAATTGCACATTACTGTTACTGTTTTGATCTGCATAATTTGTTTGCTCATCCCCACATTGTTGGGCATTTGGGTTATTTCCCACTTTTTCCTATTATAAATAGAACTGCTATACACATCTTTTTATCAGGTTACTCCCCTGCACCCCCGAACCCCCAATTAATTCCTAAGGGAATATACCCACAAATTATTTGAGGTATAGTATAACCTAGTAGTTTCTAGTAGTTAGGTTCAAACTTCAAAGTAGCTCGGTATTGGAAACTTAAATACTGGAGATTTGACTAAATGTAGGTCTTCTTAGCTGGCTGCTCTTTATTAGGCAGAAAATCTTTTTCCTGCACAGTGTGAGTCACAAAGAGAATTTTTAAGGTAAAGAAAGAAGTTTGGAGGAGACCATGGGGAAATTTGACAGTTTTCTAGTTTCTTCTGAGTCTAATTTTCAGATTATTGTTTTTTTTTTTTTCTACACAGTACGCCAGGTACATTCCAATTTTTAAAAGTAGAGATAGAACTGTTTTAAAGATAATGTACATTTTTAGATTAACCATAAGTAACCTTTCCATTAGTGTAGATGTGAGCATATTTTGGACTTAACATCACATAATTCTTTTGTTACAAAGATACACTTTCATTTCTCAGATCCTAAATACAGATGGGAGTTCTGTCTTTATAGCAGTCCTGCTGCCAGATACAATTCAGCCTTGATGGGAAGGAAGTCTTGTGGCCACATGGGTGGAGATCCATGGTACAAGGCCATAAAGATAAAAATGGAAAGAAAAGGAAAACTACAAGGGCTTCAGGAGAGGGCTCTGTAACAAAGATGAACCTGATTGTAGGCAACTGCTTGCTGTGGGGGTAGAGGCTTCATTAAAATTATGAAGGAAATGAGTCTTTGATTTTTACTTTTAGTTTAATTTACTTTTGGAATTCACATGGGTCAAAATTCAAGTGATAGGCTGTCCAGTTAGCTCACTCAGTAGAGTGTGGTTCATAATACCAAAGTCAAGGGGTCAGATCCCTGCACTGGCCAGCCACCAAAAACAAAAAAAATCCAAATGAAAATTCTCCCACAAATTGTGGTCCCCAGCCACTCTATTCCCCTTCTTAGAAGCAATTAGTATTACTAATCATATGATTATTCTTCCAGAAGTATTTTGTACTTGTACAAGTAAACATATGTCTACGTATACATTTATGTTTCTATGCAGGTACACACATGTCTATTTCTTTTTTAAAAAAACAAATGGTTGCATAATATACACACTGAACATCTTGCTTTTTCACCTAACACTAAATCTTGGAAATTATTCTATACCCATAGAAAGCTTCTGCATTCTTTGAAAGCACTTTAAAAATATCATATGTCTACGAGTGAAAGTAATTCTTAATCCAGGGGTTAGGCCTAAGGATTAGGCCTATTACATAACAGTATTCAAGAAATGTTTGTTGAATAAATGAGGATGGATTCAAATTAATTATTTTATTAATTTAAGGTTCAGATGGGAAGAGGCAGAGAGCTAAAAATTGCCCAAAGCTCTGAGACTATTGACCTAACCCTGACCCTGGGACCCAAGGATGATACCACAAAATGCATATCTGTTTTAAGAAGGCATCAGAAATTCTCTTTGGGATGTCAATAGGAAGAGATATCTGTGGAGACTGAGGAAGAATGGAGTTTTGGGATGGCCTCTGGACTCCAGGAATCAGGAGACATGGTCCTGGTTCCACTGTGACAAGGCTCTAGGACCTGGAATAAGTGGGTTTGGGTGCTTTCTTCAAATGCAAAACAAGGGGGTTAGAGTAGACTATTTCAGTGGACTCTTCTAGCTCTAAAATTGTATGTTTATAATTCGACAATTTCCTGTCTGATCACCAGTTTGCACAATTGTCATGTTGAAACTGCATTTGTAGAGACATCAAAAATGAGATGTCCTTTCTCTAACATAATAAAGAGGCACATGGGTCATTGGTAAAAATGTGATTAAGATTCCAAGATTAGACTGTAGAAAATAGTTTGCAATGGTTATATTGCAAAAATTTATTGGCCAAATTGTTAATAAAAGCAGATTTATTAAGGTAAGACTATCTATTCATTGACATGTTTTGAAAGAATTAAATCTCTGTGATTTTAATTATCTGATAAGTAAAAATTATTATAATATTAAAGTTATTCAATAGTAAATATTATTATAAATGATGAATAATATTCGATAATATTTCATTGTTAAATACATTTAATTATTAAAATAGTAGCTACTAGTAAGCATAATTCATAGCAAAATAAGTCTTTTTTCTCTCTTTATTTTAGATAAGTATGAGAGTGAAGCTAGTAAATACTGGGACAGATTTTACAAGATTCATAAGAATAAGTTTTTCAAGGATCGTAATTGGTTGTTGAGGGAATTTCCTGAAATTCTTCCAGTTGATCAAAAAACTAAAGAGAAGGCGGGAGAATCATCATGGGATCACTTAAAGACTAATGCTGCAAATTGTTTCTCAAGAATGCACTGCCCTACTATGCCTGAAGAAACAAATCATTGTAAGAAAAATCTGGGCTTGTCAGATGGTCAAAGCAAAGCAGAATCTAATTTTTCCAATATATACACTGAAGAACACAGAAAAGGACCTCTGAAGACTGAATTGTTTCCTGGTAGCAATGCCACTTTCAGAATACTAGAGGTACTGTACTCAAGGGACAAAGACAGCGGGAGGTGACAATTCTAAAATGTACATTCCATATTATTTTATTAACAGTCCAGAGTTTTGAAAATGATCAAATCTAACCAAATTAGTGTTCAGTATACTTTTGTGCATAAATAATATTTAAGGGATTCACGTCTTTAATCAGTCAAATTTTAAGTTTGTGGTTTTAATTTTGTTTTTGTTGGGGTTTTAAAATGTGTCTGCTTTCATTTCTAACTTGAGGGCAATTTTATGTATTAATAAAGTTTTGACCTTAATTTTTACTTTCTGTTATTACCCCTTTTTAGGTGAAATAGAAATAAGTGAGATATATAATTTGCTATAATCTGATGTAGACCTTGGTTTTCGGTTTTTAAACTAAACCCTGTCTTTCCAATTTTAAAGGTAATATATGAGTATATTGATTACAGAGAATTTGCTAAAGAATGGATAAGAGATATGAAATTATCCACAATTCCACAAAAGATTTAACCACTGTTAACATTTTACTGATTGTTTTTTCCTTTTGTTTATACTGTACATGTATGGGGGGGTTATTTCTATTTAACATTATATCAAAAGCAGTTTTCCCTATCTTCGAAATTTCTCTAGAAACATTTTCATGACTGCAAAATATTTTACTGTGAGGAGTACTATAATTTTACTTATCTATTTTCACAGTACCGGGCATTTGAATTGTTTTTAGGTTCTCTACAGCAAACATCTTTGGTTGTAGATTTTAGCTGCATTTTCTTTTATTATCTTGGGTTAGATTTACTAGTTCATAATTTATAAAAATCTTTAATACTCCTGAAACATATTACCAAAGTGCTTTCTAAGAAATTGCACTAATACCAATACCAATATACATGGCAGTGTGTATCAGTTTGGTCATACTTTCATTGGTTGAAATATTCTTATTTTATTGTTTTCCACTTTGTTGGACAAAAATTATACCTTGTTTTAATATGCATTTCTTTGATTACTAAATAGGTCACATAGTTCTTCAAATGTTTAAAAAGTCATTTATACTTCTTTTGTGTTCTGTGCATTTATTTCCTTTGCTCATTTATTTGTTTGTTTGTTTTTAATGAGCTCTGCCCTTTATTATATTTATTGTAAATTTCTTTTTACAGTATGTTAGTCACCTTTTATTTGGGGTTTGGTTTAAATTTAAATTTTAAGAAGTTAAATGTTTCCATGGTCAAACTTCTCAGTGTTATTCTTATGGTTTATTTCATTGCTTTCAGGATAAATTTCATTTTTTAGAAAACTTATACCCAGAGATCCAGTAAATTTCTTCTTTTTTCTAAGAAAATCTGACATGAATAAGGAAAATTTAACCTTGCTTTTTTTCATGATATTTGTTTATCCTTTTGATTTTAGGTTGGCTGTGGTGCTGGAAATAGTGTTTTTCCAATTCTGAACAACTTGCAGTGAGTTTTAGAGTTTTCTCCTACAGAATTTTACATGTTTATGGGATGTTGAGAAATTATGAAAAAATATTGTCATATATATGCCAGTAGTGTTCTTAATTTTCATGTAAACAATGACTAAAGCAAATTTCAAAAGAAGCGCCTTAATCTTAGTGTCTAATTTCATGTGAACTGGGAATTACTCTGAAAATAGTGTTTCGCAGCCAAGGGTTGTCCACCATGGGTTTTAAGTAATTTTTTTAGCTTGTGTTTATGTGGATGAGAGAATAAGAAAAGAGCGAGAGAGTTCATTCTTCTGCTGAGCTGTGAATTACAAAACTTCAGAGATTGTTTGCTCCTCCTGGATACTTTACACCCAGAGAATTGAGTTTAAAGCTTACAGCTTAATCTTCATTTTATCTTGTCATCACTTCTGGAATAACACCCTGTATAAGACCCTCACTTGTCAAATCATTGTGTCTAGGCTTGAATGTATTTGGAGGTAGCAGCAACTAACCCTAAGACTCAAAAAAGCAGAAGTAGATGATAGGGTCAGAGGTATTCCCTTGACCCGCCTTCCTGTTTACCATCTCACCAGATGTTTAGTATTTCCAGGATAAAGACAACACACTTTACAAAACTCTTCAAATACCTTTTAACTATGGCTGGTCTGTTAAGTTCCGTTCTTATTTTTTAAAGTTAATTCAATGGCTTTCATATTTTTCCATTATAAAATCAGTATAAGCACACTGCAGAACATTTCCATCAGAAAAAGGCAGAGGGGGGCAATTACACATCATCCCCCATCATCCTAACACCGCCACTGAGAGAATTTTTGTTTTAATTCCTTTCAGTCATTTCTCTATGCTTATTTTTTAATTTAACCCTGCAATCATTTAAACTTTTCATTATGAAAACATAAAAGCATTCAGAAAAGCAAAGAGTAGTACAATGAATTTCCATATTCCCACTACCTCAATGCAATAATTATTAACATAATGCCAACATCATGACACTTTATCTTTGATTATTCAGGATGTAGCTCCGAAAAATCGAGACATTCTCCAATACTATTATAAATCCAACGTAATGAATAGTAAGTAATTCTCTAATATCATCTAATGACCAGTGAAAATGGCCAGGTGCACATGATGCTGGTAAATTTATAGTTCTGAAGGGCCTTTCTCTTTTTGTATTTATTGTCTTTGTTTTCTGTTTTCCAGTTTCTGGGCTGAAATTTCCTGTTTCCTTATACCACATAGCCCAGTTCCTTCTCCCCAGTGATCTTCAAATTTATAATACACATAAATATACTACATTGGTAGTTGATTATGTGTTACTTTATGACTGATTTCAAAGTATTATTTAGCTTGTCATTTCTTTATGCCTTGTGTCTGCAAAAACTTTTTATATTCCTTTAGGTAGAGAGCATATTCTACCCTAATCTGATTTCCCAGTTGCGTAACAGTGCAATATAGATAGTTAGAGCTCAATACATATTGACTGATTAATGTTTTTGATTCCTTACTTGTTAGTTCTATTTTTCCCTCTCTTTTTCTCTGTCCAGCTAGTAATTGTAAGCTTTTAGCTCCTCACTCCCTGACTCTTTCTTCTTGACTGTGTCTTTCTTTGCCTCATGCCCATGTTTTAGAAATCATTGTAGCTCAATAACCTGAGATAACTAATTCATCTTTAAAAGGCAACCAGTGATTAGCCTTCCAAAGGGAGACTTAGACTTTTTTTTTTTTCCTGCCTAAGAAATTATGTTTTATGACTTTTGGAAAGTACAGGATTAATGTTTTACATTTTCAGAATATTTTACCATAATTAAACCTCTGGAATTGAAAGGTCAAATCATTCTGCAAGGATCATTTAATTCTTAAACCCCCTGCCAAGAGAGTGCTTGGTGGTGTGGTGGCAGTAGTGATATTTACACCTGCTTGCTGGGAGAAGGGCCAAGGCAGTCAGCTGATTTTATGGAAAGGCCCTAGAAAGTCATTGGGTGGTCACAAGACTTCAACTTGGACTGCTGATGCAGTGGGAATTTAGTCTCAGAGGTCATGCTGCCACCCTAGTAGGACACATGGCAAATGGCACATGCTTTCCTTTAGCTCCTAGACTGTTCTGTATCTTGTGGATGTTCAGTAACAACTGCCCAAAGGTAGACTGCAGACCTTTCATAATGAACTAGATGTACCAGTGTCCAGAAAGGCATTTTGAATTATTTAGAAGTTGTTAGAGGACCATGTTAGTTTTTAAGCTCCTGGAAGGCAGAGGCAGATCTCTTTTAATGTTAATAATAGCAACAATAATTATAGTAATGACTAACACTTGTTGAGTGTTTACTCTAAGTCAGACACCTTTCTAGGAACTTTATATGAATCCATTCAGTCCTCACAACCACCTTAGATGCCGTATTTTTCTCTGTCTTAAAGATCAGGAAAAAGAGTTATAGAGACATTAAATAACTATCCTAAGGTCACACAACTAAGTGGTAGAGCCAGGAATCAAAACTCAGCCAGTCTGGTTCCAGAGCCCTCCTCCTTAGCCATTATACCACACAGTGCTGCATGCATCTGAGTGTTAACTGAGAACATTTCAAACACATATGACCACCCAGCAAATTACAAGTCATAATTATATGATTTCATAGGAAACAACAGGGGTATATGCTGAAATAAAGTATTGTTTATATATAAGTCAGATGAGAAAAGACCAAGCACTGCAAGTTTTAACTTTAATTCAGTACTGGCTAACCTTTCCTAACCTTGTCCTATCCATCATACTTTAATTTATTTGGACAGATCTAAAATTGAATGCAAATCCCTAGTAACACAGAATGAATGAATTATATGTGAATATAGTATTTGTCAAAGAGTAGCCTTTAAGAATATAATCTGAGCCTGAGTAAGATTTTGCTAAATATATGTTTGCGCTTATATTCTGTATTTATTTAGTTCACATTGCTTGAAATGCCTCTTGAATCAAATTAGAATATTAGAATATAATCAAATTAGACGTCCTAATTGTGTGCTTCAATGCCCACCTTTATATCATGCCACATACCAGTTTGGGCTCTCAGGATCAGCTCTGCTTCTCATCCCCGGCATGTGACTCCCACCTCTAAACCTCTATGCCATTTCCCCTTCTCCCTTAGCAATGCCATCCTCCTTCTTCAAAACTTTTAAGACTTATACTTCTGGGTGCCAGCTTTTCTACACCTCTATAGAAATTGTATAAACCAGCCCTGTCCCCAACTAAACTATGAAACCCGCAAGAGCCAGGACCATCCTTACAGTTACTGTTTAGGTACATACCTCTTTCTGTGGTTCAGACAGGGTAATAAGCAACATAGTACAAGGATTACTTAGAACTAGCATACAGAGGATGATCAGGAAGCTTACTGACCAACAGAATTTAGAGTATATGCCTGCCTGCCCATGAATAACTGTGGTCCAGCCATCATCACTGAATTCCAAATAAAGACCAAACAGGTGTAGGGGGAGGAAAAGTGGTGGACTAATGGATATGAAGCTATGCTATCTACCCTAAGTGACTCATTGTGCAGTATATGCATGTATTGAAACAACACACTGTACCCCACAAATATATGTTGAAATAAATAAATTAATGAAAAAATTTTTAAAATATTTTTAAAGTATTTAATCCTTCCAATTAAAAAAAAAAAACCCAGCCGAACAGAATATGTTTAAGTTCAGAGGCTAGTTAAAATTAGTCAAGATTTTCACATGGGTAAATACTATCCCCCCCCCCAAGAAATTGAATTTACTTATTTATATATTGTGAATAAAGCAACTGAGTCTTAAAGAAGTTAAGTCAAATTCACAGAGTTAATAGGTGGCAAATCCAGGATTCAAACAGTCTATTTGGCTCCAAAATTCATACCCTTACTATTTTATAAGACTATTTTATTTAGTACTTTGTATTCTAATGCTTGGTACATACATGAGGCTCATGTACATACATAAAGCGTTGACAATAACTTGAAAAGATAACTGAGAATTAATGTATTAGTGTTTTATTCATTTTTGGAAGTTGTATTCACATGTTGTTAAAAAAAAGTATATGTGTTTCTGCCCGGTCAGGGCATCAGAATCTCTGTGAGAGACCCAAGAGCCAAATGAGTTGTATCGAAGGGAAGAGGAACGAAGCCCCAAGGACCCAGGGGCCTGAGAGTTCTTGGAGAAGGGCAGAACTTGGCTAAGTACAGAGGAGCTGCAGGACATTCTGGAGGGAGGCAGAGAAGAAAGCAGGATGGAACGGTGCTGATAGATGACTTTTAAGGTTTCCGGTGTGGAAGTATGGTGGGATATTAAGGCAGATAGGCCCAAGTAATGGAGGGCCTTCAAACCAGGACAGGAGTTTGAACATTGCCCTGTAATTAATGATAAGTATTTGAGACAGTGCTGGTTCAGAAGCAACACAAAGATGCCCGGACACCAGTTGGGAAAACAATATTTAAAAAGAAGAAATGACAAGCAAAGCGTCATCTGAAGTTCTGTGAAAGAAATACTTATTAAGTCAAACCTACAGTTTCCATTGTTCTCTAGTTCAAGTGTCTCTGGACTCTAGATTTAAATATTTCTTCTGTTTTCATAGGAATGCTCCAGAGTCCTTCCTTTATTGTTGTGATTTTGCTTCTGGAGCTGTGGAACTAGTAAAGGTATGCCTTCTATTTTCTTTAAAAAGAGCCCATATAAAAAGCTAATTTATTTGTTTTTGAAGTGATTCTTTTGAAATGTGTCTAAATCAAATGTTATCTGTGACCATTTTTGACTGAGCTTTTATTATTTCTGGGAATCGTATATCAACTGATGCCTAAGATATTAAACTAAGACAATAGAAGTTATTTTGAGTTTAAAATACGTCTCAAGGGACTGGTACACCCAGGAAGGCCAACAGCACACAGGCGAGGACCAGGAAGGGTACTGACCTGTAAAATTCAGAGTATACGCCTGTCCATGAAAAACCATGGTCCAAACAACTTGTTTAAGTTCCGAAGAGACCAATTAAAATTAGTCAAGATTTTCAAATGGACAAACAGCACTCCTGCCATTGAATTTTTCAGTTGTCTCCTACAAGGCCAACTTATTCATATTTGTGTCCCTAGAGCCTTGCTTGCATACAGTCTGGCACGTAGCAGACACTCATTAAATTTTTTTTTAAATGCAGGGGGGCTTGGCAGCTGGCCGGTGTAGGGATCCAAACCCTTGACCTGTGCTTTAACCAGCTAGCCCCTAAATTAAAATTTTTGAAATGAAAAAAATCTGAGAAGCTATATGATGCAAACCTAAAATGGCCTAGACTGTAAGGAAAACAGTGCGGAACCTGGTTTTATTTGACAAATCCCTGAATGCTAGTAAGCATTACCATAGAATGAAGAGTAATTTTAGACAATGGAACAGGAAAGGAAATTCTGTTAACAAAAATGTATGATAAACACATAAATTAAGTAAAACTTTCTAAAAAGCAAGTAAAAACTTAATTTCTGATAATAAGAGTAAGAATTATCCCTGAGTAACATTTTCTAAAATACCAAAAAAGTCTAAAAGAGAACATAAATTTCATCTGAAATTACACTTCCTAGGGTGAATCAGTGTTAGTATTTTGATATGTATTCTTCTAGTGTTGTTTCTGTAAGTTGTATGTGTGTTTTACTCCAATGCAATTTTTTAAAAATAACAGCTTTATTGAAATATAGTTCACATACCATAAAATTCACCATTTTAAAGGATACAGTTCAGTGGTTTTTAGTATATTACAGAGTTTTGCAACAATCACCATTATCTAATTTTGATTATGTAGCATAGGATATTTGTATTTTAAGACAAAGGAGGCATGGAAAAAGCAGTGGGAGTGAGAGTGGAGGACTATCTCAGTTCCTCCTGAAACAACACAGGGTAGACCTCTACCAATGCTGCCTCCTGATTCATAAAGCCTGCTCTCCTCACTTTTCAACTTAAAGAGGGATTGTGGAGAATATTTGTTATGAAGTCCAAGTGCTAGACTTGAAATAAAGTACATTCAGATTTATAGAGGAAAGGGTTTTGTAAGAAAAAATTTTTTAAATTGACCTTTTCATTAAAAAAAAAAAAAAACGGAAGTCTACTAACTTCTTTTTTTGCTTTTTATTCCTTTATAATGTCAGTCGCACTCATCCTACAGAGCAGCCCAGTGTTCTGCTTTTGTTCATGATGTATGTGATGATGGTTTACCCTACCCTTTTCCAGATGGGACCCTGGATGTCATTCTGCTTGTCTTTGTGCTCTCTTCTATTCATCCTGACAGGTAAATGAAGACGAAGGGCAAAGCAAGTGTGTAAAGCTCCTTCCTCCTCAGTAGTTTTCAGAACTATCAAAGCAAAAATGACAATTCTTGAATTTATTATTTAGTGAACCACATTATGTATAATATTCAGTCTTTTAAATGCAGTTTTTCCTTTCTTCAGACTTTTAGAAAGAAACTGGTCAAACTACTTCATTAATGAGCTTTCTGTCACTGTCAGAATGAAATGAGAATATTCTGGCAAGACACATACCTATTAAAAGTGACAGTGCTTCAAGGAAATTACAAATTCAGAACAACCTAATAGACTCCCAAGCGGGAAATTGTACTTAGCAATCAGAAACAAACATCTTTGATTTAGCATCTTCCTGAATGTTCATGAAGAGGTGGGCTGTGGATCAGTTTGGCTTCACATAAATCTGTTGATGGGCTTTAAAAATTTTGTTTTAAAGGCGCACACTAGGGAATTAGGAGTTACAGAGATTTGTGAGATTACCCTTGGACCTTTATGATCTAAGGTTGGTGTGGTGCCATCATTTAAATATTTATGACTTAAGTTTTTATGTTTGTACAATTTTTTAAAAGTATAAACGTAGCTTTTTTACAGAGAGGAAACGTAAAGAGAGATTACAGGCAATTAAAATGATCACCTTTCTGATCATTTTAATGATGGTGGTACTGGTGTATTAAAGTACATGTGTGGTAAGTGTCAGGGCTTGTGCTTTCATAAGATTTCTTAAAACAGGGTTTTCAGAATCCCCTGTTAGGAGATACGGACGTGGCATCCACCACTTTTTTGTTAGATGAGTGCAACCCTTTCCCACTGAAACTGAGTTACCATGTGCTTCTTTCTTTGTAATAAAAGGCCCTGAGGACCCTTTACAGTCCTTTTAACATTAAGAGATGAGTACTTTGGTAACTTATGAAAGAACAAATTACATGTCCAAATATATCTAAAAGAGGGATACATTTGCACCTGGTGAGCTATATCAGTTTCCATGAAGCTACTTTTCCCCCCTACTTTCAGTAACCTATTTCTTTCTGCTAATCTATTTAGGCTTTTGGCACTGTTCAAGTTCTAGTAGAAAGAGGTCATCTATGTATTTTGTTTCCTTACATGAATAGTTAAAAGGATGGGGTAGGTGGATAGAGAATAAGATTTCCTATTTGAAACCAAAAACAGGAGACATTTGAATTCTAAATAAGACCACAAAAAGAGTATTTGAAATTAGTTTAGATAATGTATTTTCTCATGATTTGAATTGACTGTTAAAGAGAAGGGGAAGCAGATGTCTTGCAAAAATTGCTTTTTTTTTTCTTTTTTACTGATCGGTAACGGGATCACAACCCTCAGTGTCACGCCCGTACCGGGGACCGGCAACAGGATCGCAACCCTCGGTGTTGTGCCCGCACCATGCTCAGCCAGTGAGCGGGAACCGGTCTCCACATGGGATCCGAACCCTCGGCGGGAGCGCCGCCATGCTCCCAAGCGGCGCACTCTCCAGTGCGCCACCGGGCCGGCCCCCAAAATTGCTTTTATAGTACAGAATTTCATTCTATTTATTATAAAACAAATTCAGATGTATCATGTCAGTAGCCACTTTCTTACCTGCATGGAAGTGATCTAAAAATAAGATGAATGTGTGGGAAGCAGCAGTAAGTGAAAAGGCAGGGCAGTGTCTTTTGGGTCATTTAGGACTGTGGTTAGTGGGTTTGATCCCAGGAAAGTTCTAGAAACGTGTCTTCTTAGCAGCTTGGAAAATCCAGGCACGGATGAACGGCAAGCAATTCAGCTAGACTCTGAGTCTGGGGGTTCCCACTTACATGGGAATAAATCATAGGAGGCTACAAAAGAGCTAATGGTCCTTCTTGTCATTAAAATAAAAGAAAGTATAAAATACATACAGCAGGGCCAGCCCATGGCTCACTTGGTAGAGTGCGGTGCTAATAACACCAAGGCCCCGGGTTCGGATCCCACATAGGGATGGCCGGTTGGCTCACTGGCTGAGCGTGGTGCTGACAACACCAAATCAAGGGTTAAGATCCCCTTACCGGTCATCTTTTAAAAAAAAAAAAAATACAGCAGATCCAAGCACAGAGTAGACAATCAATATAAATACCAATTTTTTAAATCTTTTTTTCCTTCTCCTCTCCCTCCATCAAGAGATAGGTGAGGATAGCAGAGCTAGCCCAAGTAGGATAAAGAAAGAAAAGGGGCTTTCTCCCATTCTTGTCTTGTCCTTCTCCTCCCCAGTCCACTCCCACCTGCAGTTCTCAGGAGCTGGCCCTGGAACTACATTGTGGACCCAGATGGAATGATCAAGAAAAGCAGCTCCCACTCCTTGCCTTTACCCACAACCCCAGACATTAAAGGATTGTTTGGGAGGAAAGGATGTGCAGAAGGATGTTGCTACATTTTGAAGTATTTGATTTTTTGTTTTTATGCAATTTAGTTTCATCCCTGTTTTACTACTAATTACAGAAAGAGATTTCGCTCTGTACATAAAACATTTATACCGAGAGTGAATATTTTAAAGTTTAGATATGGTTTTCTTTCTTTGCCGAAATCTAAGGATATAAGCACAGTGTGCAAATAACCTGTAATAAAACGAACAAAGAAAAAATACTTTTCTTTTCCCCTTTCATGTATTTATGTTCTGGTTTTTAAAAGAGCTTTTCATCTAGCCATGCCACCTCTTTCTGTCATATGTCTCTCATGTTTTTGTAGTTGCTTTCATTTTCTCACTATCTACTTCCTTCATAACATGACATAATCTGGCTTTCATCCCGCTATTCCACTGAACAGTGTTTTAATTGCATGGAATTTACAGATTACCTGATCTAAACTCCTCATTTTCAAAATAAGAAAACTTCCACAGCTTTAAGTAGCTTAGCTAAGGTAGAGATGGCAAGGCACACAGGCTGCCATTTACCATTCTCTGCTCATGGCAGACATTGATCACCAATTTTGTACTTTGATTGTCATTCCCAGTGAGCTCCATGAGTCCTTCTTAATAGAGCTCTGTAGGCAGCTAATACTAGTCACTTAGCATTGATATATGATCTGAAACTTTTGTCTTTCCTGGCCTATAATCACACATAAGGTCATGAATTCTTAACCAAAAACCTAAATCAAGAGTAGTTACAAGGGGTCGTATTTGATTGGAAGCCACATAAGTAGAAGAAATAGTAAAAGGAAGAAAGCAAAGGCTTCCCAGAATTGAGCTGGGGCTTGGAGTATGAACACAATTTAAATAGTTGGGGGGTAAGGAGGAGATTCTTTGAGGGGAAACCATGTGAGCAAAGGCATGGGCTGCTCAGAGCCAAGCATATAACATATTGGCTAGAGGAGATGCTTCAGACTGGGAGGTAGTGGGAAAGATGTTGGAAAGATGAATTGGGATCAGTAGCAGGAGATCTTAAGAGCTCAACTAAGAATTAAAATTTTATCCTGTGGATTAAAATCTTGAAAGTTTTTGGGCCAGCCCGGTGGCGCACTGAAGAGTGCGCCGCTTGGGAGCGCGGCGGCGCTCCTGCTGAGGGTTCGGATCCCATGTGGAGACCGGTTCCCGCTCACTGGCTGAGCGCGGTGCGGGTGCAACACCGAGGGTTGCGATCCCATTACCAGTCAGTAAAAAAGACAAAAAGGAAAAAAAAAAATCTTGAAAGTTTTTGAGCAGGGGGTTGATTTGACAAAAACCATCATTTTCAGCAGAATTACTCATCGATAATATTCAGGAAGAATTGACAGGGAGAATAATAAAGCATGTTAGGAAGCAATTCTGATTCCAGGCCTAAGGAGATAGGGGCTTATACTAGGAGAGTACCAATGGGAAACAAGGTAGAAAATATCAAATGTGTCATAAAAAAGAAGACATAAAAAATGTAAAAATAAGAAAGAATACATAGAATTTGATGACCACAAAGAGAGGATAGTGGAAGAAGAGAAAATTAGTTTCTCTTTCATGAGGTGAATGATGGTACCTCTGAATTAAATAAAGTTCATCTGACAGAGGGTTAATATCCAGAATATACAAGGAATTCAAACTTAACAACAGAAAAACAAATAACCCAATTAAAAAATGGGCAAAGGAGCTGAATAGGCATTTCTCAAAGGAAGATATATGAATGGCCAACAGAAACAGACACATGAAAAAATGCTCAACATCACTCAGCATTTGGGAAATACAAATCAAAACCACTTTGGAATCTCATCTCACTCCAATTAGGATGGCTAATATCCAAAAGACTGAGAATGACAAATGCTGGCGAGGATGTGGAGAAAAAGGAACCCTCCTACACTGTTGGTGGGACTGCAAAATGGTGCAGCCATTATGGAAAATAGTATGGAGGTTCCTCAAACAATCACAGATAGATCTATCATATGACCCAGCTATCCCACTGCTGGGAATATACCCAGAGGAATGGAAATCGTCATGGCAAAGGGATACCTGTACTCCAGTGTTTATTGCAGCACTATTTACAATAGCCAAGAGTTGGAACCAGCCTAAATGCCCATCACTGGATGAGTGGATAAGGAAAATGTGGTATATCTACACAATGGAATACTACTCTGCTATTAAAAAAAAAAAAATGAAATACTACCATTTGCAGCAACATGGATGTTCTTAGAGAAAATTATATTAAGTGAAAGAAGCCAGGCACAGAAAGAGAAATACTGCATGTTCTCTCTTATTTGTGAGAGTTAATAAAAATAAATAAATATACAAATGGCAAAGGGGGAAGAAGACACAACAATCACAACAATTCCTTGAACCTGTTACAAGTAAACAGATATGATGTTGATGGTGGGGGAGTGGGGAGAGGGAGGGTGGAAAAGGAGAGATTGGTAAAGGGACATGAAAATCAACTACATTGTATATTGATAAATTAAAATAAATAAAATAAAAAAGAAGTCACAGGGAGAATGAACTAGTTTTGGAGGAAAGATGATCCCTGTTTGGATTTGTATAATTTGGGATGGCTCTGGCATATTTTTTATCTTGCAAGATAAAAAAATGAAACAGAAGAAATACAAGAAAATGAAATGCCTTCAGTTTTTGTCTACCTCAGAACTACCTTACTTTGCTGTAAATAGCAGGAAACGTCTGTGGTTTTGCAGTTCAGCTTTGACTTGATGCTTCAAGCTCTGTGAAGTTATCACTCTGGTCATTTGGGTGATTTCTTGATATTCTGTACGTTTTGAATCAGGTCATTTAGCAAGCTGGTATCCTTTTTTTCCTTATTTACAAAATATTTTTGGTTTTTGTTGCCCTTACATTTGTGGTTTAGATTTCTTCTTTGGCCTTATCAAGCTTTTCTTATTTTGTCTTCAAGAAGATTAAGTCTGGCATATAAAACAAGATTTTCACAGAGTATCTTGCTTTGTTTTTAAAAAGGATGCAAGGTGTTGTAAACCGATTGTCCAAGTTACTGAAACCTGGAGGAATGCTGTTATTTCGAGACTATGGAAGATATGATACGACTCAGCTTCGTTTTAAAAAGGGTAATAGTATAATCAGTTTGGAGTTATTTAAAAGAATGCCTTGTTTATAATTCATGTCGTTGCCTTTTTTTTCTGTTTTTTTATGAAATACTAAGTTTCTCTTTTCACAATTATTTCTTTTAGGGCATTGTTTATCTGAAAATTTTTATGTTCGAGGAGATGGTACCAGAGCATATTTCTTTACAAAAGGTATACTAATTTACAAGAGGAAATAATTATCTGTAAAACTCTCTTTGGTTATTATTTGCAGGGAGAAACTCAAAAGATATAGAAGCAAGACTCTAATTGTTGATTAAACATTGGATATCTTCATACTTTGGTGCCTGTAACTATTCTACATAAAAGCTTGAAAATGGCCTTTTTGCCTTTTAATCTTTTTCCAGTTAAAACTGTTTTAAATAGTCACTTGTTTCACCCTCATACTCAAATGAAAGTGCAGTCTGTTCCATTTTTTATGTCAATAGAAAATTACTTATCTCTTGTCAATTTCTTATTTTAAAAAAGCATTTCTGACGGTACCAAATGAATCCTTCATACAAGGATTTCTCCACACTTCTGTGAGTACTTTTATAGTCTATCATTTCAGGTTGCTGTAACAAACCAACAAAAACTCAGAAAGCGGGCACCTTTCAAAATATTGAAAGGAGCAACCAATAATTTTGTATATCTGCTTATGCCTGCTGTGTTAGCCTGTTAATACTTGGTGTATTTTTCTGAAGTAGAAGAAACTCCTTTGATTTCACAGGTTTCCTTCACCAAGTTGTCCTAGAGTGTTTCTTAGTATAAATGAAATTTAAATGGCCAGTCATTCCATCAGTGTTCCATTGTTCCTGACCTCCCTAGTCACATGTCATTTTTTGCTTGCCATTTTTGTCTGACAGGGGAAATCTACAGTATGTTCTGCAAGGCTGGTTTAGAAGAAAAGCAAAATCTGGTTGATCGTCGTTTACAAGTTAATAGGAAAAAACAAGTGAAAATGCACCGAGTATGGGTTCAAGGCAAATTTCAGAAGCCATTGTACTGGACTCAAAAGAGCTCCAAATTGGTATTTTCACTCCTTTCTCATGACTGAACTATGTACCAAGCAAAGGTACAAAACCAGAGGACTGTACCATTCAAAGACTCCTATAAATCTTTCACTTCTCAAAAGACAATGAGAAGAAAAGAAGGGAATATGTATTTCCTGCAGTTTCACAGGCGAGCTCTTTTGTGCATCTTCTGTGATTTGGAAGAGTGCACCATTTTCTGTATTTTCAAAACTTGATATGCCCAAGCTTGTTTGGGTTTATTACATCTAACCATTTTGTTTGTTCCTTGAATTTTATAAGCATTCAATTAAATTACTGATATAAGTCAGATAATTTTGAGAAACCATAACCCGTCATTTGTTAGAAGTGGGAAAAAACATTTACTTTGTTTACACATTAGGCCTAGTAAACCAGTTCCCAAACACAGTCAAACTCTCCTCCACTATCATCTGATAATAGAGAGGCAGCACGCCTTGTTTCCGGGGAAAGCTATAAGCCTAAGATCAAGGTATATTGTTGTTTTGTTTTGTTGTTGTCTGTTTTCCCAAAGCTTTTTTTTTTTTTTTTTAATTCAGAGACTAATGTCTGAAATACAACTTTAGTTTCTCTTTTTTAAAAAATAAATGAGGAAGTATGGCCCATGCTACCATTATTTTCAGGCTACTCTGAGAGGTACAAGTTGTTGTAAGTGTCATACCCAAGAAAATTCTTAAATTATAGCAATTAAAAATTTATTTACCCCTCGACTTAAAAGTATATAAGTTGGCTTGCCAATTGCACTTTGTAAAAATGGAGTTTCTAAGATTGGTCTTTCATTCATTATATGATATTTATTGAGTACTTACATTGTGCAGAATTATATGGAATAATACAATCAATAAAGACCTAGCCCTGTCTTCAGAGAGTGTAAATAGGGTCTAGCTGACAAAGCAAAATGTGCACATCCCAAACCTCTAAATCATGATCTAAAATAATACACAAACAAGTACTCAAATAGGGAACTTACCAGCTAGTGGACTTTGATTATGAGCCACAGAAATCTGGAAGAAATGGACAATCTCTTGAAAGGACAACCATTGGAATAATTTATCTCCAACAGTTCTTCCTTTTTGAATTCACTTAGAATTCAATTTCCTGGAAGAATGTAATCAGTCCACCTTGGGTCATGGATTCATCTCTAAAAAGCTGGGGGCAGGGCAGCTTAATTGATGATGCCACTAGAAAGTATGGAATGGAAGAAAGTTGCTCAAAGGAAAATCAACAGGACACTGTTTTGATAAACGAAGGGGGAGAGATACTGCTCAGTCACAACACATCATATAGTGGTGGTAGCAGTAGTAATAGTAGTGCCAAAGAAAGAGATCAGCTATTAAAAATAATGTGGAAGAATCAGGCTTCTGGGAGGAGGTGGGTCTCAGGCTAGTCCTTGAATGTACATTCTCAGAAGGTGGTGAGAAGACAAGGCTATTTGGTGTGGGCCCTTAATAAAGAGGAATAGTGGAGAAAACATGGGGTCAGCTTGTAGACCACCTAGAATAACAGATATGTTGACTTCTAGTCTCTGGACGGGAGCCATCTGAGGTTGGTTGATTTGTTTGTTTTACCTAGCCATGGTGTGTAATAAGTGTATATAGAGAGACTGAGGAGTTGTCTATAGTATAGAATGGAGTGAGGTCAGAGATCAGTGGCAAGGCAGACCACATAAAGGTGTTTGCACAAACTTGCTTTGGTGGCAAGTCCTCAGAAGTACAATTATCAAGGTTTCTGTTTAAACACGTATAAGTCAGTAAATGGAAAAGTTAAAATTTGCTGAGACTCTTAACTCAGTTGTATTTCAAAATCAAAGTGTACATTTAAAAGCCAAACTAGTAATGAAAGTATTACATACAGCAAGGGCAGTTTAGATAAGTTAATGTTGCTATGGGAACCCCAGCAGATCTTCTTGTGTCTCAATTTAAAAATCATGGCCCAAGGTGGTTTTAAAAACAACAGAAGGTAAAATTATTCTCACATTCTCACACATGTAAATTGTACTGTCTCTCTCAGTTCTAAATAGCAGATTCAAGCCAGCTTCTTGACTGGCACAGTAAAATTCAGCTTCGTGTCTTTCTATAATGTATTACAGCATATGAGTTAACCTTTAGAAGCTTCAAAAATACATCAACCAAATTTGGACTGTGAGGCACAAACTAGGCTCTTTTGGGCTCTGTCCAGCATAGACCTCCTATTCCACATGGCTGTGCAGCAGGGCCATTTCCACCAGTGTTTTTTGCTTGTGTGGTCAGTCTCTCTCTTTCTCTTAGCCTACCTGAATCAACCACCTCATTAGGGTTTGCTGCTAGACAAAAATGTAGATTTGGGCAGAGGAAGAAAAGGGAAAGACCTATTTGGAATTTTGCCTATAGATATTAAGAAATCATTTAAATGTATCTGCTTGGGTATTAGTTTAGAATATTTGATAACTACGTGGAATTCTAATTTCCCCCTCACATCCATAAATCTAGAACCAGTTGGTTAAGCAGAGTTTGATATTTAAAAATTCATCCTCTGAGTGAGCTGAATTTTAACAGGACTATTTTCTATCTAGCAGAAAAAGTTATATTCCTTCTTTCTTGCAATATGGAAACAATGAAATATATTAAATGCACCCTCCATTTTTCTCCACTTCTAAAGATTCACTTTTGAGTTTTGTCCAAATGTAAAAATTCTCACACACGAAGAACTGTTTCAGAAGGTTGTGAGAAAGTCAAGATAACAGTTTATATTATTAAAAGTTTTGCATTCAGTATGACCCATTAGTCCATGTTGAAACATTCAGTTAACATTGACTTCTGAGAACTTATTTGCTTTGCTTGTCTCAGTTTCATATGCTTTGTCTCCAAATTGTGAACACATCCCAGTTTCTACCATTATGTAATTTTAAGTCATTGCTGTACTCTAGTTTGCATGTGAACTTTCACCCATGTGCAAACAGCTGCCCTCCAGGGGGCAAAACTTAAAGCCAACTGGATTGTTAAACTTCAGGTAAGTTAAATTCTTGCCCTGTAGTTCCTATGCTATATTGCTATGGTTTTCCAACTCATCAAAGTTCTGAAGCCTGGATAATGCATTGTTACTTCTAACTGGTTTTAATGTTTATTATGCTCCTCACAAGTGCAGATAACTTCACATTTGCATCACTAATAGACCTTTTTCAAAGCCTCTGCTCCTCCTGTTTCCTGCCTCTTAGTCATCAGCAGACTGCATGTTGCCGTGGGTATTTTCCCCACTTGTGAAAGTGCATTGTAAATTCTAGAGCACTGAATATATGTGAAGTACTGTAATTAATAACAGCATTTATAGTCAACAAGCCAGCACACACAGTACTCCAGCAACAGATAACTTTTTCAATGGTTTTATAAGACCTTGTAAGAAGGTATCATACTATGGAAAAAGTACTACCTCAGAGTCAAGACAGGAAGCATGAGTCGTAGTTCCTATTGAACGCTTAGCCACTCTTAATTTAGTTCTGAGTGTTAAGTTTTATATATACTATCACATTACTTCATTTTAATCTGCAAACTCCTACGAATTGGTTTTTTATCATAACCATCTTTTTTTTTGGAAGCTGGCTGGTACAGTGATCAAACCCTGGACTTGTGTTACCAGCACCATGCTCTAACCAGCTGAGCTAACTGTCCAGCCCTCTAAATGTCATAACCATTTCACAGATGAGACTGGGGCTCCCAGATGTTGGGTAACTTGCCCCTCATAGCTAGTAAGTGGCAGAGCCAGAATTTGGACCCAGAACTATCTGATTTCAAAATCTGTACTCTCATCGCTGCACTTTTAATGGATAAGCTCAAGTGTTGCACAGAAAAGTGCTGGAGAAGAGCTTCTGAATCAAGCAGAGAACTATAGCAGTGGGTCGGGGTTTGGATCAGACGACCTTCAAGGTTACAGCTCATTCTAGATCAAGTCATTCTGTGAAATAAGTAGGTTGCACATGTCCACAGTTATAAATTGGGAAGGGAGAAAAGGAAAGGAACCGAGAGGAATGACAAAGCAAAAAGCTTTCAAATCAGTTCTTTTCAGCATGCTGCATATGCTTAGTTCTGCCCTTGCCCCACCCCCTTCTGGCTTTAGCCTTCCTCTTGGCATCCCTCCTAGCCGAGCACTCATCACTTGCATACTCCTCACTTAAAGAAAAAACAAAACAAAAAACCCACATTCTTTACTTCAAGGGGAAAAAAAAGCCCTTAAAATGTCTTCAAAGGGATTCAGCTCTAACGTAATCTAAAACATGTGAAATCAAGAGGTGTCAATAATAAAATATGAGTGAAAACATCTTTATTTAAAACATTGTGTGTACATTAATGCCACATTAATACCAATTCAGGCATGAAATGTTGAGTATTTCTTGGAATATGGTTTGGGATTTGAGAGGCACAAAGCTACCTGCAAGATGGCTTTGGTGTAGTTATAAATATAAATAGACATAAAATAACAGTTGCATCCTCATTTATAATGAATCTATATTGTGGCCTCAGAGCTACAGAGAGTAGATGCCAAAATCTGTCTTTCATTAACATATGCCTTAAATGACAGAGAAGAGGTGTTGAAGACAAAATTACATTTTCCTAAGAGTATGATTCAGCAACATGCAGTAACAAACAAGTAATAATAGTTCTGTGTGTGAGTGCGTAAGACAAATAACATCAAATTGAGAAAGCAGTGCACCTGCAGGCGGGGCCCAGAAGGCCACAGAGCACAGCTCCCTTGAGCACCATCTCAAAGTGTCTCAGAGCACAGTGACCCTAACTGGCAAGTCAGGTTGGCACCAGACGGATGGAGCACATTAAAACCTCTAGACAAAGACAGCCCACCCTCAGCTGCCCTTGGAGCTCGTCAGAGGCAAGCTATAAGGCACCACTATTTGGCCAAGAGTTTAAAACAACAGCTTTTGATTCTATGGTGCCTGTGGTTTCATAACCACTTAGCATATAGTAAGGAACAACTAGAAGCAGGTGAATGAATAAATACATGTTAACATTACATAAAGGGGAAAAGAAGTCAATACTTTAAGAGCACGTTGACTTCAAATAGTCAAAAATAGTGTCCAGGTAGCTGTATCCTTGTCATCCAGTATCTGTGTTTTATCTTTGATTTTCTCCAGCAGGTAAGCACTAAGTAGAGTCTGGGCCCCAGGAAAAAAAATGCTTTTCTATCAGATGTTACCTACCAAATAAAACAAACCATTTGCCTCCTAAAAACTCCCAAGCATCATCTCTCCTACTTGGGCTGATGAGGTTTAGTCCAGGAAAACTATGAATTTTGTTATGCTTATAAAAATTCTTTTGCAGTGTTCTCAACCCATTGCTTTTTCTTGTGACACTTCCTAGTTCATTGCAGAAAAAGTTGAAATTAATTTTTTCCTCAGTTAATCTTTGTATATCAAGTACTGGTTGTTTCGAAAAACATTGGGGGAGGGCAATCACCCTTCGGACCTTTAAAACTTTCTCATTGGGATAAAGTGCTAAAACTGTGTGACTTCCTAAAATTCATGATGAGATGCTGCTGAGGCTATTGTATTAGTGGGTTTATTTAATCTATTTATTTATTTTAATGTTATATACTTAGCAGAAGCAACACCATGCAATTGCTGCCTCATTTCTCTCACTTCCTGCCTCGAGAGTAACTTATCTTCCTCCCAAGGTTGTCCCGCTGAACAGAATGCTTGGTGGAAACGTGATAGCTCTCCATGCATCTTTAGTTGTGCTCTGCTCCCTCAGGTAAGCTGAGACAGTGTCCCTGCAAGCAGCATTTGGGACTCGTACTGAAAATCACCTGAAAGAGAATAGCTGAAATTACCAGCATCACATGCTGCATTGAAGCAAGAAAGAAATGTCTGCCTCCAAGGA